TATTCACTTATCTGACAGTAACTTGAGATGTGCCCATCTCATTCCATATCTCACAACTGAAGCAGCTGAAACCTTTGTCCATGCCTTCGTCACTTCCTGGCTGGACTATTCCAATGTTCTCCTCTCTGGTCTCCTCAGCTCCACCATATACAAAATCCAATTAATTCAAAATTATGCCGCCTGGATACTCACACACACGAACCTCTGTACCCGCATCAAACCAGTCCTTGCCAGGCTCCACTGACTCCCAATCACCAAACGGAGGGATTTCAAGATCCTCTCACTCATTTTCAAATCCCTTCATGCCCTCGTACCCCTCTACCTATCCGACCTGCTTAGCCTCCACTCCACCACCCGCTGCCTCCGCTCGACTGGCTCCGACCTCCTGTTTGGCCCTCGTGCCCGCCGTTCCATCATTGTTGGCCGTGCCTTCAGCCACTACGCCCCGAAACTCTGGAACTCTCTCCCTCCATCCCTCCGCCTTGTCCCCTCCCTCCCTCCCCACCTTCATATCCCGCCTTCCTTGTTGATCATGCTTACAATCACCACCCACCTCCCTCTCCGCCTGGATCATTGTCAACTTCCGCCACTGTGAAGTGCTCGGGAGGTTACCCCGCGTGAAGTGCACTATATAAATGCAAGTTGTTGTTGTAATGCTAGATAATATCAAGATATATTTGATCCTGCTAGGTGGAATTTATACAGAAATGGCATTATTTAAAGGATTATTAGCAGCATGTGATAATTCAATGTATTGAGGATCATTATACTCCTTATTGAAGGGGTACTGTCTTATCTCAATTTGAATCAAGGCAGTATCCCATGAATAAGGCCAGAGAGTCCATTTTTCACACTCACAGTTGACAACAGAGACCTTCAGGTCCAACTGAAAGACTGTATTCAGTGCTTGAGTATTATCTTTGCTAAATTCAATTCAGGATAACAGTGCCCAGGACTTTTCAGTTAAGTTTTGGGCACTACCATCATTGTGAAACTGAGGGTATTTAAAAATACATTTTAAATAAGGAACAGTTTTTCTTTTGAAATACTGCAATTTTCAACCCGAGAACGTAAAATAGAAAAGGGGACAGTGACACAAGACCATGATGGTGAAGGGTAAGAATGGAATTCCTTAAGGTTAATAGTGAAACTTACAATGACTAACAATGCTGTAAAAAAATCAGTAGTTGTAGTGAACACAGTGTAGGAGGCTAACATAAGCAATTGGTAGATGGTAGCAGAACCTCAAGACTGAACTATAATCTGAAGCTCTTATTTATTTGTAACAGTTAATTTGCTATTATTTGCTTTTATTATTCAGAGATCATTCCTGAGCCAGGTTGATCCACAGTATTCCAGGTCACTGCTGATGACAGCACAGCCAGGCTGGCTCATCAGCAGGAATTGGAAGGGCAGACCAGTCACTGGGGACAGGGACTCTTCCCACTCAGCTCCTGTTAACTCTGCAGGCCAAAGCCCGAATGCATAGAATGGTCCTAGCTGGATAAACAACGAGAAAGCTTGGCAGACAGTGCTATCAATGGCAAACTATGCAACTTTAGCTGATTAGAATCCAGCAGTAGCCCAATACACATTCTGGGGTCCAAGCCTTGGCTCTTGTCGACCTGCGCCTAATTATTTCCGCAATTAGGTTAGCAGGATGCATCCCTTCAGGGAGAGAGTGCACATACCATTCCAACAATCTCTCTCTGGGATTTCCATGTGTAGGTGGAATGCATGGAAATCTCAGCTTGGTTTGGATATTCTTAAACGTGGTGATCGGTTTCCGTATGTTTCAGACACACCCGGCTGATCAAAAAAAAGACGTTATCACAGAGAGGTATGTGCAATAAGAATAAATGTGATTATGATCTGTAATCTGACACTACATTACTATGTGACAAAATCAATAGTATTGAGATACAGTATCAGCAAATAAACTTGCATGTGCATATTACTCAGCCATCTAAAATTGCATGGCTTGCAATTCAGAGCAGTGTCTTGAACACTTTCTGCTGCTTGGCCAGCTAGAACTATCCTATCTGCTGGGGCTTTGGCTTGCATTGTTAACCAGAGCTGAGTGAGAATAGTTCCTGTCCCCAAGTTACTGGTCTACCCTTCCAAGTCCTGCTGATGAGCCAGGCTGTCAGCAATGCCCTGAGTACTGCAGACCCACCTGGCTCAGGAACCAGACTACCGAGACCACCACTGAGGATTGAGTCAATTCTGACTTATTGTCAAACATGTCACCTTGGCACCAGCTCAACTCCAATGAGACTCCACTTACCTCCCACCAAGGAGCATAGTCACTAGTTAGTCATTCAACAAACCATTGATAAATAGAAACATACATATCTCAAACCTGTATCATATATATCAGTGAAACAAGATGACAACATGTAAAATTAATGAATAGAACCAGTTAAAGGAATGCTATAATATTAACAAAAAGTAGAACATCTTACCCTCTACACTGACATTTTCTCGAAGAATATAATTTTTTTTGTATTAGATAATCAACAATTTCAAAGAGTAACAAATAATTCCAGCATGCTATGAAATCAGATTAAGCAGATTAACAGTCCCTTTGCCTCGCCCCCTCTCTTGCCTCCTTCAAAGCCTGCCTCAAGACACTCTTCTTCGACCATGCCATCGGTTCCCTCCTAGCCGTGCACCCCTCCAAACCCCAGCTCGAGTCCAAATCCTGACTTTCCAGGCCTTGAGACATCCTCCCAACATGAATTTGTTGTTGTTGTTGTTGTTGATTATGTGGCTTGCAAGCTAAATTTCTGAAGGCAGGTAAACCAGCAGTTTAGACAATTACTGATGTCCGTTTGAGGCTGATACATTTTTTGTCATTAACAGTTTTGAAGCTTTCAGTGAAGATCACACATTTGAACCTTTTTATGAATGTATTGATTGTAAAAACACGGTAGACTTCCAAATCTACAACATCTTGGTTATTTTTACGAGTTTTTTTAATTGATCAATTGCCGTTAACATTTCTTCTCTCCCGCTGTTATTTTTCCTTGTCTTTAATGGAGGGCTAGGAATATAAAGAACTATAAGAAACATTCTTCTAGGTTAGCTAAAAAGAACGTCAAGTAGAAATGAGTCTGAAAGACACTTAAGCCTGCCATTTAGGCTTTAAATGGGAATCCAATGTTGTGCCATAGCTATAATAATAATAATCCATGCATTTGATATAGCACGTTATGACGTTTTCAAGACGTCTCTAAGTGCTTTACAGAATATAGTGTAAAGTGACTTGACTGTATATTTTTGCGGGCGAAACAGGGCAGCCAATTGCGCACAGCAATGTCACACAAAGGATCATGAATTGATTGATTGATTGATTGATTGATTGATTGTTTGATTGAATTATTACTTCTGGAAAAGGGTCCGCCAATCGACTGAAAACCAGATTCCTACTCACTGATAGTTAAACAGAGTCATGCAGAGTAAGGAAACTTGCCCAACGTTTCGCCCAACCAGGAATCGAACCCAAGTCTCCATCACTGATATTGTTATGCACAAATTAGCTGCAGTGTTTGCCCACAAAAAATGTCACTACACTTTAAAGAATATCCTGTGACATACCTTTGGGATAACCTCCTGACATGAAAGGAGCTATCCAGATGTAAGGATTATTATTTGGATTGTTATTACCAAGAGACCAATTCATATTGTTTTCAAATCTCCAATTCCTGCGATGTATGCTTAAAGAAATATCTACCTGATTAGATAACATTGCACCTATAAATATTATATTGCGTAACAGCCAATAAAAAAATACAGAATTATACCGAAATAGTTCAAGTTTGAACATAAGAAAAACAACAGATAAGCAAAGCTCCATCAAACCTCATCCCTCCATTGCCCTATTTTACCAAGTATAGAATTCTACTTAATTTTGATCAACCCAAACATTTTTGCCTCTAATCTATGTGGAATGTTGTTCTAAATACCTAACACAGGCTGAGGTCTGTCCCACACTGATTGATAAATGAGTGTTTCGTTTTCATTGTCTGTTTTTGATGGGATTTCCCATTGTTTTCTTATTCCATCAAAGTGCATTCTATTTACCAGCATGTGGAAGAGAATCACTCTCCCAACCATGGTCTGATCAATGTATTTAATGTATTCAGAGACTTGTATTCTGCTGTTCTAGTTAAATGTGACGGTTTTCTTTTTTCTTGTTGAATTAATTTTCCTATCTTTTGTCTATCTTATGCTGACTGCCAAAAATGAACATAAGAGAAACAAAAGCCCCGTCAAAGTTCTCATGTCCCACATGAAATAAATACATAGAAATTTGTGAAAATAAATGTTAGTAAAAACACCTTTGCTCAAAGATTTGTTGAATATGCCCGGTAAGGTTAAACAATCAAGAACTCTTGAATTTATTCAAACTGCAGTGAGGTGCTATACTGGGAAATGTACTATATTTGGGGCTGAGTTTAGTAGGATATATAGTCCTTTCCCATCCCTGAAGTTTCTTATATTCTCAGAATAGGAGGAAAAACACATGACAAACACTTACCTGTTGCTATTTGAAAGAAATGAGGAGGCTAACAATCACTCCTCATCCAAATTCACCCTAAATTCAAACTACTCATCTGAATATTGTTTGCAGGACATCACTGGTGCAAATTAACTACTGTGTTTGCCTCCATAAAAACATTTACATAAACGCTGGCAGAATGCACGGCTTGTCATTTACACATTAAGAATTTTAAGTGCCATCAAGGTAGAAAACATTCTTCTTAAAAAATAGGCGTGAGCCTTGGATAGTGCTGACAGGATACTGATTATACTCCACTGAAAACTGAAGACAGTTCAGAATAGAAAACATTTGAAGGATTTTAAACAAGAGGCAGGCTGACTGACACATTCAATTCCCACAACTACCAAGAAAAAAATAATAAAAAAAATTGCCAAGCCTAAGTAATAAGAGACAAGAGGCAGACAAAATCAAAAGAACAAAAATATCTCTTAACCTGCTTTCTCAGAGCTGGCAGTGATGGTGGTGGTTGTGATGGATGTGAAGGTGGTCTTTACGCTGTCCTTGGGAGTAACAGTTTTCTGCTTATTTTTCATGGCCTCCAGTGCTTTGAGCTTCTTGGCATGTTTAGTGCCTTTGTAGTGTGCCCCGGCTTGGCTCTACAAAGGAGAACAAATGAACCATGCAATCAGGCTCATTTCTTAACTGTCATCCTCTGTATTGGTAAAAATACAGAACATCTTTCAATAACGGGCACCACAATCCATGGCGGCTGGAAAGTCCACTAGTTACTTTGGAAGCAAGAGTGTACTGAGGAGCAAGGCAACTCACCCACATTGGTTTATCAACAACAGGTGCCCCTTATTGAAAGAACTTTTTAGACAGTGTTAGTGTTCATCAGAAAAAAAGAAAAAAAACACACACAGGACAAAAGCACATGCATGTTACTGATACTGAAAATTAAATGACATGAAACATCACAAAGACACTGACAGGTAGCATTGTAAATTATAAAACGTTTAAGATTTTAAAGTACAGTGGTTAATTTGTGTTAAACTTCACATAAAGATCGTGGTAAACTACAGTAAATTACTCTGTCTATTCCACAAGTGTACAAATTCTGATAATCTACTAGTGAGTCACTGGATGAGATTTGGTTTTAGGACTGGAATAAACTGAATATTACATTGTTCCCAGCTGTGTATTCCATTTATACCATAGAAATGGGGATACATTTGCTTTAAATAAAATGGTCTATGTCTTAGTTTTGATGAGGAATATTGGAACTCTGTAACTGCTAACCCAATGCACTTTCATTCCTATTGTGTTGTGTAAGTTCTTTCATTACCTGTCTCCAATAAAATCAGCTGTAAATATAATTTTGTCTCACTCAGATTTAGCTCCATGGTTTCATGGAAAAATGAAAAGTGGATTCATGAAATAATTCATATATTGGTGAACGTGGAAACAAAAGCTGTGTTTGGTACCCTAAATAGCAGGCTGCAAGTGTGGTATCGTTGCCAAAACAGATGAATACAGTCAATTTAGGGCAAAGGCAGCAGAAGTAGAAATAATTCAACTTGAGATGTTACAGGAAATAATCACTTAATGTTATAGAAAACATCTCAATAGCTTGGATATAAACCATAATAAGTATTATTTGTATATTATGGAGTCCTGTTGAAACACACTTAAAATAGTTAAAGCTATATTAAACTAAATAATAATAATAATCCTTGAATTTGATACGCCTTTCACGTCGTCGACATGTCTCAAAACACTCCACAGAGTGTACTGTAGAGTGGTTTGACTGTGTATTTTGTGGGCGAAACTCAGCAACACATTTATGCACAGCAGTGTCCTACAAACCGCCATGGAGTGAGTGATCAATTTTATTTGGGGGATTCGTTGGCTAGGACACCAGGCGAAACTCCCTTCTCTTTTTGAATAATTCCATGGGATCTTTAAAGTCAACCTGAACAGGCAAACAGAACCTCAGTTTAACATCTCATCTGAAGGACGGCACCTGCGACATTGCAACACCCCCCCCAAGTGCTGAATTGGAGTGTCAATGTGATTCGACAATGTGATTCCAAGTCCTGAAGTGGGGCTTGAACCCACAACCTTGTGACTCAGAGGTGAGAGTGCTAACACTGCACCAGGCTGACACATATATGAAAGTTATTCATGTCCAGTGACAATACATGTTATATCAATGGCACCAAGAGACATCTAGGTAAATAAATCATGTATCTTCCTATGTATTGTCATAAAAAAAAGTTACAAGTCAGAACTTTTTATTGAAAAAGGGAGTAATGTCCATCATTCTAGGCAAGATATTACTGCATTCTGTGAATTGCAGAGTGTAAAAAAAGAAGAGGAGGGGTGTGAAATATTGCATAACATTGTGTAAATTCCACCCCCTCCCACCCTGCCTCCACACATACACACCTCTCCCACCACACCCCCCACTCCACATAGCTTAGATTGGTTTGGATGATGAAAGTCCTTCAGTCCATCTGATCTCATCTTTTCAGAATACTCACCCTACTGTCCCCCAATCACAGCATCAAACTGCTTTTTAAATGAATCCAATGTCCTGGCCTCAACCGCCTTTCCCGACAACTTGTTCCAGTCATTGATTACCCTCTGAGTAAAAGTCTGTACATCTTTTATAAATCACATATAATGTCAGAACGTTTCCATGATGTGTTATTCTTAAGATACAGAAGGTAATTTCACCGTGTTTTTAAAATGTTGCAAGAATTTGGTTGTAATTCAATTAAATTTATGGAAAGCTTCCTCGATAGTTAATTATTGTTAGAGTTTATCAAGCTGACTCCCAGTTGTAACAAGGAATTAAATGAAAATGAAGGGTGCACAGGTTTTGATGTATAAATCTGATTTGGAGTGCCCACTTTAATACAAACTATATTACTGTACTTTAATACAAATCAAGTAAACAATCAAATTCTGCTGAGTAAATCACTGGACAATGTAATTGATTTGATGAAATAAAATCTGAAAGACTATTATTCTGACGTTTGGATTTGACAGCTACCCCTCTTACAAGCTTTCAATGTTTTGTAACTTTTATAGGATCTCACCTTTTCTTCTGAAAGTTTCTTGCAAGTTCTTAAGTTGCGAGTGTGGTGTTGGGAATGCTATAAAATACAAAAAAGTGTTCAGCAAACTTCTCATCTGTTCGCTCTACATGAAGGATGCTGTATAAATACAAGTTGTTGTTTATAAATGCTATAAATCATAATGCAATTGACCATTGTATCACGTGTTTGGGATGTAATTGCAATAAAAATGACAGATTGTTGTTCTGATCATTCTCCCTTTCCAGGCAATCATTAGTCTGCCAAAGAGATTTTCACAAAGCCAGTATATCTATGTCACATCCTTTTATACTCTTGAGTGTACTTGTTCATCTGTAGCACTGAGAAATCACTTTACATGAATATTAATAGCAAAGTGGGAATAACACATTACTTTATATGCTGGGAATATAAATCTATTCCTACATACTGTAGCTGGGTGAATAATGTACAGTGATCCTACCTCCTTGCAAACACATTACTTGTGTAGATGGACTAATGATGAACAATTAGTACAAGACTTTTACTCGAAGGACAAATGTTATTTTCTACTGGATCAAAGCCAAGGAAAGAGTTATATTGACTACAACCCAAATTGACTATGTTTACATGAGATTCCTGTTGCATAGACACTAGAATAACTAACATTAAATACATACTTGTATACAAATGTAATGTAGTATTCTCGGAAAGTGGGTGAGGAATGGAGTATGTGATGTAACATGTATTACTGGTGACATTTATCACATCACTTATCTCATGTTCCCCTATGTGTGCACTAAAGTAATTTTATTGACAGACTTGTTATCTGAGATCATCAAAATATAATAATAGCCACTTTATATGTATAACCAGACAATGAATGTTATCGACACTTATTGTCATAAAATTATTTCCAAATGTTAAAATTCAGTCGTTCATTTTAGGTTTGCTATTTTGATAAAACTCCTACACAGCACTGTATGTCATTGTATACAAGTGTAATGTTACTCTTACTTTACATATGCATCTTAATGTGTTATCTTCTATACATAGCTATACATTAAAATGTTACATGCCTACTCAGTAATGTTTACTTTCAATTTTTTAAAAAAAAATTGATTCATATTACAATTATAATATATTACAATTAACCTAATTAAACACAATTAATCTGAATATTACACATACAGGTTGGTCTTATATGCTGAAATGTGAGCTAATATTTTAAAAGAGACAACGGCAGATAGAAATATTAACCAAAATTCACGCAGAACCAAATGTAAGTTCTTAAATGAACAATTATATATCCTTTATGAGCCTGACAACAATGTAGAACAACGTTTAGAACAGGCAGGGTATTGTCTACAGAACGGTAAAGCATGGATTGTTATTTTAATATTTTTTAGTAATTTAATAATGTTTTGGGATTGACTCCAAGTCACTGGTAGAAAAGTAGAAACAACTGCACTTGTGAATATGCATTTGTTCCGAGGGGATCTGATGTACTCTCATTGCTAAAAATAGTGATATTTTTCAGGCTTTGGGAAAATATGCCAAAATTGGCCTAATGGGTTGGCTGACTGCAAGCACACTCTTTATCATGCTGCCCTAGGAGTTCTTTCCTCTGGAGATACAATGTAGACTCCAATCGATGGTCACCGTCCCTGGAGACAACATCATTGTCACATTGGTATTGGTGGTGAAGGTAATGATTTAACATGCAGGACACTTGCCAACTGATTCTGATATAATTGTTTCATAAAGCATCTCAGCCTGCTGGATGGAAACACTGTAAACCAGTGTCCAGCATGAGAAGAATTTATTTTGATGCAAAATTACCTTGGAGTGTGGATACAGAAATGTTTGCGTTTTAATTACCAAAAGGACTAACAACGTGCAGTCCATCTCATACTTGGTCAGAAATTTAGAGCAACAGAGGAACCTTTGTTGATTGGTTAAAGCTTTATTTCAACTCTACATGAAATAAGTATTCTGAATTTTACATCCTTCTATATTGTACAGGATATAAATTCCTATCTGTTGCAGTCAAGCAACAAACACATAGAGGAATTTATTTTAGAAATAGAACCAAAACTGCATATGCTTGAAACCTGAAATAAATCTCTCCTACCCCCAAATAATAATAAGAATTCTTGTGTGTGATATAGCGCCTTATCACGTCTTTGAGATGTCTCAAAGAGCTTCACAGAATATAGAATCATAGAATCATAGAATATTACGGCACAGGAGGAGGCCATTCGGCCCATCGAGTCTGTGCCAGCTCTTTGACAGAGCAACTGACTTTTATTAACCCCACTCACCAGCTTTCTCCCCATAACCCTGCAAACCTGTCTTCTCCAGATACCTATCCAGTTCTCTCTTAAAAGCTGTTATCGAATCGGACTTCGCTACCCTTTCTGGCAGATCATTACAAATTCTAACAACTCGCTGAGTGAAAAAAATTTCTTCTAACCTCCCTTCTGCTTCTTTTGGTAGATATCTTAAGACTGTGACCACGAGTCACAGACACACCTACCAGCGGAAACAGCTTTTCCTTATCTAGCCTGTCGAAACCTTTCATGATCTTGAAGACCTCTATCAGGTCCCCGCGTAACCTTCTCTGCTCTAATGGGAAAAGTCCTAACTTCTCCAGCCTGTCCTCATAGCTAAGCTTCCCCATTCCTGGTATAAATACACCATAAAGTGTATATACCGTAAAGTGAATTGACTATATTTTGTAGATGAAATGATGGAAATTCACAATAAATCGCTCAGCAGCTGAATGAAAAGAAGCTATCATTTCAGTTTTGACCTATTCATAACAACAACAACACAAGTTGTACTTATATAGCGCCCTCCACCCAGGGTAGCATCTCAGAGCGCTTAACAGTGGCGGAGCCTGACTCCAAGCTGGGGGGAAGGAGAGGTGGCCGTAAGCACGATCGAAGAGGAAAGTTTTCAGGCGGGACTTGAAAGAGGGGAGAGGGTGGGCAAGCAGAGGGATTGAGGGAGAGTGATCCAGAGTTTTGGTGCGTGCGTGGCTGAAAGAACGACCTCCGATGGTGGGATGGAGTGTGCGAGGGACAAGCAGGAGGCCGGTGCCAGTCGAGTGGAGGCGCCAGGTGGTGGATTGGGGAGTGAGGAGGACGGCAAGGTAGGAAGGTGCCAGAGAGTGAATGGATTTGAACATTAGAGTGTGGATCTTGTAGTTCGGTGATGGGGAGCCTGGCCAGAACTGGTGAGATGTGGGTCTGGAGTTTGGTCCGGGTCAGTATGTGGGAGGCAGAGTTTTGAATGAGCTGGATCTTGTGAATGGTGGAGCTGGGGAGACCAGAGTAGAGTGCATTGGAGTTATCCAAGCAGGAAGTGACAAACGCATACACGAGGGTTTCGGCTGCACTGGAATAAGGTACGGTTGGAGACGGGCAATGTAGCAGAGGTGGAAGAAGGAGGTCCTGGTCAGGGACCGGATGTGGGGGAGGAAGGACAGCTGGGAGTTCAAACCAGAGGCCGAAGTTGCGCACTGGTTCGATGAGTCTGAGGGAAAACCCAGGGAGGTTAAGGAGTTTAGATCCGCAGGCGTGAAGATGTTGACGGGAGGCAAGGAGTATGGCTTCCATATTAGGTCACGGATCTGGGGGCGAAGGATTTGCAGCCTTTTCTGATACTAGTATTCGTCACTTCCCGCCTCAACTTTTCAAATGCCCTCTTCGCTGGTCTCCCCAGCTACAGAAAATCCAGCGAATCCAAAACTCTGCTGCGCGGATACTCACCCACACTAAACGCCGTACGCCCATCACACCATTTCTAACCAAGCTTAACTGGCTCCCAATCACTGAACGGATCAATTTCAAGATCCTTACCCTCGGTTTCAAATTCCTTCATGTCCTGGCACCTCCCTGTCTCTCTGACCTGCTCACCCCCCAACCCACAACTGGCTGCCTCTGCTTGACTGGCTCCGGCCTCCTGCATGTCCCTCGTGCCCTCTATTCCACCATTGTTGCCGCATTTTCAGCCACTTTGCCCTGAAACTCTGGAACATTCTTCCTCTATCCCTCCACCTTGTTCCCTCCCTCCCCATTTTCAGGTCACGCCTGAAGACCTTCCACTTCGACCGTGCTTGCGGTCACCTCGCCCACCGGCTCAGTGTTGTGCTCTTCCACTGTCAAGCTCTCTGGGACGCTACCCTCTGAGAGGGGCGTTATATAAATACAAGTTGTTGTCGTTGTTTATAAAGGCTTTTTTACTAGTTTTTAATATTACACACCAAACTACATGTAAACCAAGGCACATATATTTTTTGTCGATTAATCATTGTGTGATTTTTTTTGTCTGAAATTAATTGCTGAAATTTAGTGAAGAGAAACACGTGTTTTAACTCACCATTTTCACCGTCTTGTCAATTAAAACTCGCACACAAGTGACCAAGTGACCGATGGCGAGGGAGTGGCCGGAAAACAAGTGGCCGGTCTAATGGGAGCAGTGGAGAGAGCAGGGATTGTCCAATAGGAGCCTTGAAATAGGTGGGCACCATTCAATAGCAGCGCAACAGAGATCTGAAACTGTCCATGGGAGCGGGCTCAGGCCCTCAAGTTTTGTTGGTGTCCAGGTCAGGTTCTGTTGGTGGTGGGGAGGCACATTCTGTGAGCTTGGGGAGGCTTAACCACCCCCCACCTCCCCTCCACCCAGTCCTAATCAACTCCATCTATGGGGTTCAGGAAAAAAAATAGAACAACAACTTGTATTTATATAGCACCCTTCACATGGGGTGATTAACACTGGCAGAACCTAACATGGAGCCAGTGGGGAGAGAAGATGTGACATGGTCGAAGAGGAAGGTGTGAAAAGCGCTATATCAAATGCAAGGATTATTATGATTATTATTATTATTATAAGCTACTGTCTATCAAAGCTATGTTTAATATTTTAAATACAACAACAACTTGCATTTATATAGCGCCCTTCACACGGGAAGCATCTCAGCATACTTGTCTCAAATCATATTCGAGATAATTCCAATTCATTATTTTATTAAAATGATTGTTTTAAGGGGAGGCATTTACTGTAGGCAATTGACA